ATGCCCCAGTTGACGAGTCAGAGCCTTCTTGTTTTCCTGTTCTTTTTCTAAATTAGTCTTTATGTTGATGTGCTTGAGGATACTCTGTTAAGAATTTATAAGTGAATTTCAGTAACAGATATACTTTAGCTTATAAAATTGCAGGAATTCACTAGTTAACTCAGATACAGTTAGATATAAGCCTATATTATCAACCTTTTTTTTTAAGTGAAAGAAATTATTTTGATGAAAACAAGTCAGGAGATAGTTAATTCATATTTTTAAAAAAACAAACACATTTAACTAGTTTTGTAGTTGTGCCTTTCCCACTGACTTTTGGAAAATTCTGTGTATTAAAGAGGTTATTAAAAACTTTCATGTAACTGAAAATTTTCATGTAACAGTATCATGTGACTTCATGATAATGATGTCAAACCACTAAGTAAAGATCTTGAACTGCTCACATTATGTTGCCCCAAGTTTATAACATAATTCAATTTATCAACCAACACAAATAACTTTTTTTTTTCAGTATAGAGTTGAAAACTGGGAAAGTTCATTTATGCTGCTTTGAAAAAAAACAACAAAAACCACACTAAGTAGAAAAAATTTAAACAGCAAAACATTAATTTTAAAAAAATGCACCACAGACACTGCATCACTAAGAAAGCCAGTAACTTTACTGAATTGTCTGCAAAATACAAATTATACCTTATTTCCAGCAGGAGAAACTTTTGAAAATTTCCCACTTTTATTCACTACAGACAGCTGAATTAAGTCCCTTGAGATACACAGATGTGGTTTAACTTAGTTATAACATCTTGTCATCTAGTGGCGACAAAGTCCAGCTTATGCCGCTGTGAGCCTCTATTTGAGTATTTGTTGCAAATGCTTGTATGCCCTCATTTACAAGCTATTTTAATTACTGTCATTAAATGGAAACAAGTCCCCAGAAAAAGAAAAAGAAGGAAAAAAAAAAAAGATACAGCAAACCATCTGAAGCAATCCAAGTCCTGTGCCTACAGTGATCCAGGTCTACACTCCTCCAGAACACTGGTACTGCATTCACACCATCACGTAGCTGACCTCTCTGAATTAAACTGAGGTATGGATCAATTTGAGGTATGAACAGGGAAGGCAAAATGCAATACTCGATTATGAAAATAACCAAAATGGACAAATTTAATGTATAAGATATGTGGCTTGGATTGCTCCACATCTTTGGTTAAAACATATTAAGAAAAGCCTTTAATTACATCTGTAGTCTGAAGCATTCTAACAGACACCAGTATTCCATCAATCTTCAAAAGATCTGTAGTGGCAGGAAATTAACGCCATATAAGTGAAGACATCACAGCAGATGGCACAAATGGGAGCAGATGAAGTATGCCATGCTAAGGCAACAGCCTTTATTGAGGGTTCAAGTGGCTTCTTCTTCTTAATTTTTTTTTTTTTTTTAAAGAAAGAAATACAAAGCATTTATTCTTTGGAAAAACAAACAAAAGAATAAAAGGGGCAAAAAACCACTATCTCTAAGTTAAAAGATTGATACTAAAGTAAAACAAATACATACAAGTGTGAGAGGGCAGACATTCTTTTAAAAAAATCGTATTGGAATTTTTTTTTTTTTTTTTTAGTTCTCACTTTTTTTTTTTTTTTAATTTTAGTTCTCACATTTTAGTTATCCTTAATGTGATCTGAGCATGACAGGTATTTTCATAGTCATCATTACAAAATGTTAAATTCCACCTTTGGGAAAAAATAAGCCATTTTTATACTAAAAAACACAATTTTTAAAAAGGTTGAAATGAACAGCCTCCACGCACCAATGCATACAATATACAGGTTGTGCAGCGTGTGTATATTGCACCACTTTTTTTCAGTATTTAAGCTTAATATTGTTACCAAAAAATTTAAAAACAGGATTAGATAAAATCACGTAAAATGCCACTGATGGGTTTTTACTTGTGATGAAGAATGTTGCCTAAAATGTTACTCTAGGTTGGGTTTGTAAAATAATACTTTCTCAGGGCTCTGCCCTAAACTCCTGACTACAAAGTATTTACTGTAATAAAACCCAAAAACCATACTAGCTTTGCAAACACAATAAATGGTAAATTACAGATAAGGTATAAGGGTAAAGATAGACAAAGATTGTTTACAGAAAGTGACTCATCACAATCAAAATTGTGCTTCTTCTCCTTAAATGATTAACTCTTTTAAAAAAATTCTCAGATTATCCCTTCGCTATCTTGCACCACTCTATATGAACTCAGTAGTGGGAACAAGAGATGACTGGCATCCATTTTCAAGTGATTCTGTTCTTTTCACGTTCTTATAAAACTATTGTCAGAACTGCTATAAATAGCCAAGGCTTCTGCTGGCATGCTAGCTTTATTTTCAGCATTAGAAATTCACTTTTTCTTTGTTGCTGAGGCAAATTGCAGGTAAAAAAATTAATATGGCTATTTCTTCATATTTTCATATAATGACCCTATCCCACCCACTGGTAAGTTTCTACTGATACTGATAAACTAAAGTGATTTGAATTGACAAAGAACGTTTGTGACATGTTTGCATATTTTATATACATCGTTATAAGGATGGGTTATAAAGATGGGATCATTTATGGTAAGGAAAATGATTTTCTTAGCTCCCCCTACCCCATGTGCTTGTAAGTGTATGCGTATGTGTTTGTGTGTGTATTTTCAGGGATGAACTTCTGTTTTTCCTCTGCATAAATGTTCTTATTTCATGTTCCATGGATACCTTGAGTAGTGGGATAGATGAAATGGCTGATAATTTTTTTGTTCTTTTTAGTATATAAAACGATAGTACAAGGCAGGCTAGCATCCTATATGGATACAACCAAAGGTGCATTGTGGTCTAATTGTGGATTTCAGACCAAGTTAAGAAAAATATAGCCTCGTTAATAAGATCTATTGGCTTCTGCCACCCAGCGGCAGCCTTTTACAATGAGTAACACATAGCAACTATTTAAGTGAAAGAAAAAAAATGGATAAGAAATATCCTAAATATGATCTAGCAGTGTTGATATTACTGTCTGCATCTTCTTTGCTGTGTATGTCAATGCATAGGATTGGAGATGAATCGACAGATCTTCACATTCCAAGAGAAGGAAAATTATTTCTAGACTGAAACATTTTTTAATAATATGTATCAACTTGTTTTTTTCTTATGGCACTCAGTTTTAAAAAGGGTCTGAAAATTAATTCCTATCGGCGAATATTAGACAAGAGTTATCATATTTTCTTGAAAAATTAAAAAAAGGGACATAGAGAGGTTCTTTAATGGGATTTTTTTTTTTTTTTTGAAATGGCTATTAAATCTCTTTATTGAAAAAAAAATAGACGACATACATGCTTTATGCAGAAGTGACAATTGGGGGTCCTGATACACCGGGATTGTTCAACAGTCCTATATTGCTGACAAGATTGTTCAGAGTCCGTTAAAAGAATTGGAAACGGATGATGAAGCAACTATCCTTTTACCTGCTTCCTTCTTGCCTAGCACCCAGTATTTCACATTTTTCTTCTGTGGGAATTTGTAACTAATTCACCAAGTAAACGCCATTATCACTTGTTTCTTGTTTCTAGGGCCATATATGCAGGGCATGTATTACAACAGAGCTTCTCTATTCTGGGCATATCTCTAAAAAGCATATCACATTCTAGGCTGAAAACCAACCCGATAGTTTTGGATATGGGCAAGTTGTGACATTCACTTACTGAATTCCAAGATGCATGGTGAAATGGTGATATCGGAAAGGGGCCCTGCATTTGATAAAAATGCAAAACAAAACAAAAAGAAAGCATGAAAGAAACCAATCAATATATACAATGGATGTCAGATGACCCAATAGATTGCTAATGCATCAAAAACAATTTAGGGTGTTGCAATGTGATATGTTCTAACCCCACAGGTTATCCTTTTAACAGCTGACCTTGAACTTATAAAATGTATGCAGAGTAAAAGAAAACAGAAAGAAAAGTTACTCGAATGTGCTACTGCACAAATATACCCCCCTCCCGCTATTAAGATAACAAAACTTCTGCTATTACCATAATATTATATATATTAGAAAGCTATACACAAGCATGTTAATTTCACAGATTTTTTTAAAAGATTCTTAATATTTTATATAATTAGAAATACACATTTCAAAAACAAAACTTCTACAAAGAGAAAACAGTTATCTTGGTTAGCAAAGCATGGAGTTCTTCATGGCTTAGGGTAGTGCTTTCTATACAAAAAGTCCTTTTTGGTTTTTTTTCAGGACTGTTTAAAATATTAGCGAAGCTATGAAGGGGGAAAAAAACACATTTTGGCTTAAGTAAACTACAAAAAGCCACAAATGCTTTGCAAACTCTGTCTTACCTTTTATATGAAAATAAGCAAAATGTAATGTACATATTTTTATATTTTTATTTAATAAGAGATGCAGACCCAGATTTGTTTATTTATTTAATTAAATACGTTAGCCCTCAAACTCCACTTTTTTTTTTTTTTTTAAATAGGTATGGTCCTCTTCTAATGGTCTTTGATCCTTTTAATGAGTGCCATACACCAATGATATGCCTGCAGGTTTGTGAGCATTCTTAGGATGTTAGGTGACCTGGCTTGTTCCTAACATTTATTTTACCAATGGCCACCCATTGCCGGGTCTGTCCAAAACATCTATACATTTTTCTATATGTTGCATAACAGCTGCTCTCTCTTTCAGTAAAGATCTGCCGCTTTTGGCAAATGTTTCCTTTTTGTCTATTTACATGTAAATAACGTTGAACCTGCAACATGACACTATCTATTGTAACATACATTTTGCAAAGGAGCACAACAGTGAAAAGAAGTTAGCCTTAAAATCTATTTTGTACAAGTGTTCTGTTGTACAACTCAAGTGCTAAGCTTATCTCAGCATTTCTGTTTATCTTTATACTGTATCACTGAGGCAATTTAAAAGTACTTTTACAAAACAGAGTACCTGACTTTTTTTTTTTTTTTCCACACACGGCACATATAATGCATATCGACCCCCCTTCCCCATTAAGGTATAGCACACACACACACTGCAAGGAAAAAAAAAAAAACTATTAAGTAATAATCTGATCATGTTGCCCATCCTTCAGAGAGTCGCATGCGCTTGACTGAGGGACTTTCCCTTTCGTCCGGCGAAGGTCTGGTGAGTCCAATGGGGGAGTGGAATTCGTTCCGGTGATCCTCTCGGTCGCTCCCATCATAGGAACTGCTACAGCTGCTCAAGCTGTCAACAGGAGATCTCCCCGCCTCGTGGCGCGTGTGTTGTGGGTATCTCGAAGGGGTGGTGGTACGGTCTCTAGGAGGAGAAACAGGTTCTGACTTGATGTTGAGGCTTTGAGTAGAAGGCAGGGAGAGATTTGAACTCTGAGATAAATGAGTGCTAGTGCAAGCTCTGTAGGAGGAAAGGAAACCCAGTTACAGATGGAGGAGGCCTGGAGCCCCCAGGAACTCACAATTACATAAAACATCAGCTTAAAGATTCGCTTAGACACCAAAGCATGCCCAGAGGCAGAAGTGCGTGGTGCTTGGCCACACTTAGAGCAACACCTTCTTAGATTTAGGACGTCTTTGTTGCTTTGGCTGGGAGTAATTAGAGCATATAACAGGTCCAAGCTTCTTGAATCAAAGTTCTAGTCTCAAACAGGCTCCCCAAACATATAGGCTATCATTTTAGAAAGGTTTAACATGGTATTTTCTGTGTCCATGATTTTCTCTCTAAACTAGTTTCAAAATGTAATGCTGTAAACCTTTATATACAGTGTTCACCTTTTAAATCAGGCTTTGATTTATTAATATCTGTGCTTAAAAAATATTTTAAAAAACTTATCAGGGACAGAAATACGTATGTAAAAAGAGAGTTACATATTATTCAGAGAAAGTGAAAAGTTCAAACTTCAAATGAACAGACTGATTAAATATTGCATGATCACCATATCTGTTGAAAAGCATATGGGAGGGGAAAGAAGGGTGAGAGAGAGGGAGGTTGAAAACACTGGTTTAAAACAGATGCTCTAACCCATAAACACTGTAAAAAGATGTGACTTTTGTCATCCTTCATCAAATGAAAACACTATTTCACAGCCACCTTAACTTTAGTAATGATAGTTACTCCCTACTGTTGGTACTTAGGACACCTCGTCTCTTATTTTTAATTATCATTAGTTGATGAGTCTGGGGTTGCTTAAGCAAAGGTTGATGTCAAGGAGGCCTTCCTGTGATTTTGCTGTTTTTATAGTTCTTAACCCTCATCTGTTCCTGGAGAGTTTAATCTCCCCTTCTTTCAAAATATGGGGAAATGTGAATACCTGAAATTGTGGAGGAAAAAGCATTAAGCTATAAGTGTAGATTAGCAATCAGTCACAAGGACGTGGAGCAGGATAAACTAGAGTTAACACTGAGGCATCAACTTTACTGTTCTTGCATTCTGATTGCACTGACATCCAGGGTTAGGGTCCATATCAATTAACCACAATGGCAAGAGAGTACAGAAGCCTCTTTTATTGAGGAAGACTCAAAGCAAAGAATTATCCACAGAGACACACCCATTTTAAACAAAAGGAAGCAAGGCCACCCACTGATGTTTGTAAATATGCTCCTTTCCAAAGGAGAGAAGTAGATGGCATTAAAACAGCCCATTATGAGGAGGGAAAGAGTGAACATATGAGTAAATTTTAGGGGCTGAAGTGGAGTTACTTCGGAGCTTTTTTTTTTTTTTTTCTGATTGGGGGAGATGCAATAAATGCTAAAGATGCATAGAGATATAAATGAGGAATGAGTTTATCTTTGAGTTATATTTTATACAAAAGCACCACCTACTGGCAAAGAATTACTTTTCTTATTAACAGACAAGTGAATGCAGAGAAACACTATAAAGGAAAATTGTTTCTCTAATAAGCCTTTCTTTCTCTGGTTTTTATGATCTTACAGAATCAAACTAGTCTTGGTATTGAAATCAAGATTGAGCATTTATAATTTTCAATCACATATGTATGTTTGGCAAGGCCAGCAGTTCGAAACTACCAGATGAGGCTTTCTGTTCCCGGAAAGATTTACAGCCTTAGAAGCCCTGTACAGGGTCGCTATGAGTCAGAACCGACTCCACGGCACATAACCACCACCATGTATATTTGGAGTTAATTATTTATACTTCATTATTTTATGGTCTACATTAGTATACTAATTTCTAAGAGTTTTAATTGAATTATCTTTAAATCAAGACAACATTAAAATGGGACAAGGCACCGGTTAGGTGTCATGGAGTCAGTACCGATTCATAGTGACCTTAAGCACAACAGACTGAAACACTGGCCGGTCCTGCGCCAACCTCACAATCATTGCTCCATTTGAACTCATTACCGCTACCACTATGTCAATCCATCTCATTTGGGGTCTTCCTCTTTTTCGATGACCCTCCACTTTACCAAGCATGATGTCCTTTTCCAGGGACTGGTCCCTCCTATAAAGGACCCATAGTGGTGGGCTACTGTATCTTGGTTCAAAGTTACTTAATGATTCCTTTTGATATCTGGAAGAAAGAAGTTTCCTAGCTCTGAGTAAGAAAGAATATTTCCCTAAAGATTTAATTAAATGCTTCTATCATGAATCACATAAGTATTCAATACTGAATGTCAATTAGGATTCTGAAAATAAAATAGCATATAAATAAATGCCTTTGTCTGCCCTTTGACATTTAGATTATATCTTCATAGGCAGTGTGATGTGGAAAATTAGAAAAAAAAATATTTTGGTGAGCTGGACCAGTATAGACAGTTAATCTGGGTAAATTAAAAAAAAAAAAACAAAAAAACAAAAAAAAAAACACTAAAAAAACCCAAAAACCTCACACAAATTAGAAATGGTACTTCTTTAATTTTAAAAGCTGAATTATCTTGGTTTTGACTTCCAATGCGATTGGCTATGATAGGTTTAGCTGCATCTTCTTTCCATTAAAGAGACAGCAATCATTGGCTATTCCTTTCTATATACATGAAGGAACCCTGGTGGTATAGTGGGTTAAACACTAGACTGCTACACAGAGGTTGGTGGTTCAAACACAGAGACTGGTGGTTTAAACCCACCAGTCACTCTGCAGGTAAAATATGAAGCAGTCTGCTTCCATAAAGATTTATAGCCTTGAAAGCCCTATGAAGAGTTCTCCTCTGTCTAGTAGGGTCGCTATGCATTGGAACTCACTCGCTAGCCGAGGGTTTCGTTGGTATTTCTAGAAATAAATAGGTTAGTCCCTAAATTTATCTGTCAGTGGTATTTTGTAAGCATATATTAAACATTTTGAGTAGTTCTCTAGAGACTCAATCTACAGTAATGAAATATAAGGGATAGCATTGATTAGCTTCATTACACTGAGATACAGTGGGATATGGGATACAAAATCAAATGGAAGCTTAATTGGCTACTCTGTTATCAAAGAAGCACTTTCTTTAAAGGAAAAAGAAGCAGCATTTTTTTAAAAATCACTTAGATTTTTTTTTTTTTTTTTGGTAGAATTTCATATGGTAGAATCAGATACAAGCATGTTGGTCTTACTTGTTCTTGAGAATATTTTTTATCAAACTAGATAGTTGTAAAATACTTCATATGGGTGCATGATAAAAAAGTGCATAGACAAGTGAGGAGGTCAAGTATGTAACATGTTCATATAAAGTTGTCTATGCAAGTTTCCATCTACTACAGATGTCTGCTTTAGAACTGGGAAACCATAATGGTGCAGAAATCAAACACGACTGGCTAGCTGATTCAAATTCCTTCCTGCCTCTGCTTAGAAATTAGACTATCAGACTATATTCAATCCAACCTCTTCAGAAACATCTTTAGTCCAAGTTATCTCTTTCAGAATGTACTAAACATCAATGTCAACGAAAGCTATGCACAGAAATGCTTTCAAAAGACAGACTGCCTGTTTTGCTTAGGTGTGAGGGAAACACACACACACACACACCCCTAAAATTTAAGGGTGATTTTCTCAAATATGGGTATTCATATGAGTGTCACTAGCCCTTATTGTTGATTTCCTTCTGTCAGTCCTTTATGTTCCTTATACCACAACTAGTTTACATTACTGAGGTAAGCATGTTACTATATAAGGGAATCAGGCTCAAACTTGGATAGATAAAATCAGACATTTTTGTTGTTGTTGTTAATTACCATGGAGTCGGTTCCGACTCATAGTGACCCTGGCACAGGGTTTTCGAGGCTGTAAGTCTTTACTGGAGCAGAATTCCTCATCTTTCTCCCATGGAACCGCTGATAGATTCGAACTGCTGACCTTGATTTGAGGTTGATAGCCCGACTCGTAACCATTATGCTACCAGAGACATTGTTGTTGTTGTTGTTAAGTGCCGTCGAGTCGGTTCCGACCCATAGCGACCCTGTACAGGGTTTCCGAGGGTGTAAATCTTTATGGGAGTAGAAAGCCTCATCTTTCTCCCGTGCAGCGGCTGGTAGTTTTGAACCACTGACCTTAACGTATGCAGCCCGATTTGTAACCACTACATTAGAACACTTTAAAAGAATGGTTTTGAAGAATTAAAGGAATTTCCAAAGTATCAAAGAGCTCTATTACACTATTTTATTTTGAGCAAGAAGTGTGGTAAGCCTCTTGGGAATCTGGGAATATATTTACTTGGTTGAAGTGACATATAATCTACTCTTTGCTTTACAGATTGTGTCTACCCAAAATAATTTGAAACTGGTGTGGCACTGTAGGATAAGCACTGGACTGCGAACCACAAGACAGGCAGCTCAAACCCACCAGTTGCTCCTTGGAAATCCTATACAGGGTTGCTCTAAGTTAGAACTGACTTGACAGTACTTAACAACAACAAAAAAACAGTTGTTGTTGCTAAGTGCCATGGAGTTGGTTCCGACCCATAGCGACCCTGAACAGGGTTTCTGAGGCTGTAAATCTTTACGGGAGCAGAAAGCCTCATCTTTCTCCCACGGAGCAGATGGTAGTTTCGAACTCCTGACCTTGTGGTTCACAGCCCTATTTGTAACCACTATGCTATGTAAGAATATTTTGGCTTTGAAAACTTTTTGGTTCTTTTTAATTGAGTTACATTGTAAGGAATAAGAGTAGTTATATCATTTATTTTACATCAGTGTTATAACTTAGAGCTTGCTTTTTACAACTTTGTATTAAATTGTGTGAATATATGTAGCACATTTTGGGGATCTTTTTAAAAGCAACAGTATATATATATATATATGTATGTATTTGTGTGTGTGTGTGCGTACATGAAATAAAAGGAAACCAAAATTGGAAGGATTATGAGTGCTATCTATTCTAGTGATTCTAGTGATAAGGGAGGTGGTTAAGAACAATCAAAACTAAATTCAGAGTCAAATTATGCACCATGAGAATTAGTGTTGAAAGAAATGCAGTGCTAAATAAAATGCTTCATCGTTCCCTGTTATAATTCAGTTCCTCTCTAGTCCAAAGCTGTCTTATTTATAGAAGTCTGTTAGAGGTGGCAGAAAACTAATTTTTCCTATGTAATAGAAGAGACTTTTAAAACTGTGGCACAGTTAAAATATGCAAATCAATAGGAATTTATATGTAAAATTTCAAATGCTCAGGTGTTACTGAAAACAAAGCCACATTCAAAGAAAATATGGCTTTTTACATGTCATTGATAATTTTTAAGGAAATCTTGCCTTATAAAGGATAGATTTTGTAAAAAATGAGAAATAAGTTACCATTATTTTTTAAAAAGATGTACTTTGAGTCCTGAGCAGAATAATGACACACGTATATATCTAACAATTGCCTGGATGGTGCTAAGTACTTAGTGATAATTCCTTAGAAAAATGATTGTTATCATTAATATCTACTTGGATAGTGAAAATTCTGGAGAAAATTTAAATGCCCTAAAAAGCGAAACTGTTATGGATCAATTTTTACCATATCTTCAAAGCTAACAATCTTTCTCCCCAAATAGGGGAACAATGTCATTTAGAATTAATATCATTATTTACATGAAAGTTTAGATTTTCAATAGTAGTGATTAGTGTGTAGAATGCACATAAGAAAACTGTGAGGGGGTTAAGATGATATAACACCAGAGCATTAATCTATGTTAAAGAATCCTGGTGTCACGCTGTGGGTTAACACGTTGGACTGCAAGGTTGGTTTGAACTCCAAGGTCAGCGGTTAAAGCTCACAAATCACTTCTTGGAAACCCTATACAGTCTTGCTATGGGTTGGAACCAACTCAACAGCACTTAACAACAACAACAACAATCTATGTTAAGGAGTCATGGTTGGTGCTGTAGGATAAGCACTGGACTGCTAACCACAAGGTCAATGGTTCACACCCATCAACTCTTCCTTAGAAACTGTATACAGGGTTGCTATGAGTCAAAACTGACTTGAAGGTACTTAACAACAACAATCTATATTAAACCAATGCCATAAGTGGGGGTGGGAAGGGCTAAGAGAAATGAGCATGTGATATACATCAGTTTTTTAGTCCTTATAAATGCTTTATGCTCATTTTTTCCCTTAGACATATGGATATAGAACTATTTTAAATACATGAACTAGGTATATAGTGTTTACAAAGTATAAATCCCTGTTATCTTCAAATATTTTATATTCTCTAGCATTTTCTTTTGATGATTAATTGCTGTTTGGGAGTCATTAGTCAAACTTTAAGTAAGGTTCCAGCTTCATTTTTAAACCTGTATCTCTTTCTTTTTAAAAATGATTTTTTCTGATTTACAAGAAGTAGTGTGAGTTGTGAATTCAGGGCTTTTTAAGGTTTCAAAGTTTCCGTACACAAATGACAGATGTCATTTCAATTATAAAGACATATCACGAAACTACCACAAGGGGGCAGAAATTCACATCCTCTGACCAGAAAACAAAAATTTTGTATATCCAAATTTGGATATAGTAATACAACATATATACACAAGTATGAACATGACTATATAGGAGCTGTATATTGGTTAAATAGTATTTCCTATGAGTATTTGCCTAACATTAGCATAAGCAAGAAGGATTTTCAAATATCTTAAAAACTGCAACTATAAATACCTTTATGTTCCCCAAATACACTATGTGAAAGCTAAACCAAACAATAATTCTATCCTTTATTGATAGAAGTGAAAACAAATAGAACCTGAACAATAAATTTTTAAAATTTACCCCATTATCACATAGTTTCCTGTCCTTTTAAAGAATGAAGAAAATGTAATCTTCCTAAAAGCTATTGATTTGAAATTATTTTCAGATTTTGGTGAAGTGATAATTTACACCTTATGTGAGACATTAAGGAATCTCTGGTGGCACAGTGATTAAGTGCTTGGCTTCTAACCTAAAGGTTGACAGTTCGAATCCACCAGCCACTTCGAGGGACGACGATGTGGCAGTCTGCTTCTGTAAAGATTACAGCCTTGAAAACCCTCTGAGGATGTTCTACCCTGTCCCACAGGATCACTTAAGTCAGAATTGATTTGATGGCGGTAGTTTTGTTGTTTGTTTGGTGGGACATTAAAGCATGTATTCATAGAATGCCATTTGTTATTTAAAAAATGCATTGGAACATTATAAAATAAATAATATTGCTTACCCCAACTGACTTAGGGCGGACGGTGGCATGTTATGTAGGTGTTGCTGTTGCCAGCCAGTTACTGAACCAAGGTGAAGAGCGCTGGCGGTGTTAAACCCCGAGAGAGATGACAGGTCTGCACTACTCAGAGAGTACTCTAGATTAAAAAATAAAAATAATACAGGAAAGTGATTTAATTTGTGCTAGGATACAAAGTTTCAATTTCTAACATATTCTATTCATATTATTTATGATATATTTTCACTGTTTGGGGAGAAGAATAGAAAACATTAGGGGCAATTTTAATGTAGAAAGAATGTATTACCACAAAAGTTAAGTGCATCATGCCGGCTTCTAAGTAGAACAGCCTGCATTTCTAGTTTATAAGAACAACACTCTGATATTGTAGTACATATGTATTTGATGACTGAGAAATTATCTCAAAAAAGTAAGCTTTTCATTATAACAAAGAAGTAGCAGCACAATTTCCTTGAGCTGGAGCTTCTATTCTGAACCCAGGTTGGGTTAACAAAACTTGCAGCAACTTAAAGAAAGAAAAGATGTGGATATTCACAGTTAGTCTTCATAAGGAATCTAGTAATGGTATAGTGCTGGAGATACCACAGCCCCTATGTAGAGCTCCCTAACACACTAAAAAGATAATATTTTCTTTATCTTCCTTTTAAATAAAAATTATTTAATGTACTATTTACACATGGCAAAGCTACTCACCGGTACCATATGTTGTTGAAATGGCTGATGGATATCCTCCCATTCCTTGCCCTGGTAAAGTAGGAGTTGCTACGGAAACCACTGGGGTAGCCAATGACTGAGCAGACTGGGAGTTATTTATCCTTTGATTCTTTAAAAGTAAATTAAAAAAGACATTATTGATTTAAAAAGAAAGTAAAAAATATGGTATTTCAGTATTAGTTTTACACATAAAGAGATAACTTGGTATAAATCTCATGAAATTAATCATTTAACATGTGTCTCTATGAACTCTGCCAACCCTATCATTTACAATCCTTCAAGAGACCAGTTGTTGCCATAGTAACCCATTACATCAGTATCTCCTAGGCAACTGAACTAGTAACAAGTACCATAGCTTTATTATGGGTAAAAACAGACTATGTTGAAAACTGATGAAATATGTATACTGTACTTCCATTGTTTCAGTTTTTATTCAAATGCAAATTTAGAAAAAAAATTAAAATCAGCTATGGCGGTTTTTTATGTTCATTTCTACATACAGCATAGAGCACATGGGTAGAATTTCATACTATATTCTGGCCAGCAGGTGGTGCTCTGACCACTTTTTTCAGATTCTACACTTCCATCAAACTAGGTGGTAAAGCAGCGAAAGCTATCTTTAACTCCTTACAGTACAGAAAAAAATGAATAATTAAGAAAAATATCATCAATACTTTAAAAGAGAAGTGTCATTTTTGTTTTCAAATTTTACTATAAAGTAAGTGCTTAGATATTAAAAACAAGGCCTTCCCTTAAAGAGAGGTTGAGTCAGAAACATAAATAACCCAACATTCACCTGTGAGCTATGTTAGAAATTAATGGTGTTTAAACATTTAGCAATATTGACATACTCCTGTAACTTCCAGAATGTAAAAAAATTTCCCAGAGCTACTACCTCCACTTAAATGTAGCTTGAGATTTTCCCTCCCATTTGTCATTTAAGGGATGTACTCTCTCCACTTACCAAAAGCAGGTCGACATCCTCAGACTGAGAGCATGGGGAAGGAGTTTATTTCATTAATGTGTGTAAATACTTACAACTGGGCAATATCTTTTCAACAAAAGGAAACACATCTTCTGATAGTTGCAATAGTACACAGAGTTTTAAAATGCCGACTATAAAGATAACGCCCTACAAAGACATCCTTTGTGTGACCCTTAATGAGCTGCTTGTCTCAAATGTGAAGACAATCGATTCAGTTTTCAGCTCCGGTCAGTGTCTCCTCATTCATTATTTCACCACCACATTTTGGGAACCCCACTGGCTACAGGAGGGGAGCACCTGGCTGCCGGAGACCTGGCCACTCACAGCATCCCTGGGAAAGCATCAGTGTTAAGGGACCTGGAATAAATCTCTTGATCGAGGTAGTCTGCCATGGCCCACACTGCTTGGCTATAGCCCTGTGGGAGGTTTTATTTATTAGACCTAGTCTTTTCTGAAGGGAATGTTGCATATTATGTGAAATTTTTTGGTTGATATTCAAAATTAATCTGCACTGTGCCATAATAAACTAATCAGCTTGCAGGACTGTTTTACCCTGAAGCTTGCCACAGAGTACAAAAAGAAGAAGAAGAAAAAAAAAAACAGAAAGAAAGAAATGTGTTTGCAGAGTGATCTAAATTTGTCTACTGAATCTTGGTTTTAAATGTTCTCTCTCTTAGGCAAAGCTAATTTGGAGAACATTGATGTAAGTCTCTTTGTTACTGCATTTGGTCTTACAATATTATCTTAATATTAGGCATTGCAGACCCTGGAGAAAGAAAATAGGGTTGATACTCATTAACTCTTGGTATCAAATTGCCTAGAATTTTAAAACAATTTGTTTTGGGGATCAAGGTATATGTATGAAGCACATATGAGGGGGCATCAAAAAGTCAGTGGAAAAAGGAATGAAAAGACCATGAGAATTTTTCCACAAACTTTTTGAAGCTCCTTGGTATATAGAAAGATTAACTGAGGCTGTGCATAGGAATGTAATATGTAAAAATTATCATTACAGTATATTTGAGAAAGGATTTTCAAATTAATAGGGGAAAGTTCATTGGGAAAGTACGTAAAACATTTTATTTTTCCAGACCCTGAGGACATAAAAATGGGGAAAAAATTGGTAGGTATGTAGCATCTCATTCATGAGTCCTATTCGACCATTGGTCAAACCGTATGTCCCATGAGTAGAGTGATAGATACTTGCTTGTTTTGTTTTTTTTTTCTTTTTTCCTACTTGTAAATTGGAGGTTGTAAAAAGAAATGCTTTCTTTGTCCCAGAACACCAGTCAGGGCTTACAGATCTTGATTTTTGTAATGAAAAAATAAAAAGCTAACCCATTAATAGCTAAATGCAAACGAAGCTCTAGCAACACCACTGAAGTGTTACTTTTCTGGGTGAACTTAAGTAATTCATAAAGTTAAACAAATACAGAAACAGCAAAAACATATACAAACTACTATCAACATTTATTTAGAATGTAGTTTTGTATTACCACTGATGGCATCGTATTCTTGCTGCCTGGTGGAATAAGAACTCGGAGATCTGGTTTACGGTTGTTCATCCCTAAATTCATGGGAGGGGGAGACTTTGCTTGCATATTCTTGTTCAAGTTACCAGGTGAGACCAGCAGACCTGGTGAGTTTCGGGGATTGCCATACCCATTCCCTGTTCAAACAAAACAATGAAGGCATTTAGGAAGAAACCTAGACTCAAGTACAGTTCTAGAGCATACACTACATGGTATTAAAAATAAACGCATAAGACATACAATACACTTCAAAGGAAAGATTCTAAGATGACTGATTTAACATCCACGTGAAGAGAAACCAAGAACAATGAATTATTTAGCATCCCTCTGAAGAATAATGAGGAGAGAGCATACTCAACATGGTGGTGGTGGAGGTGGTGTGCCGTTGAGTCGATTGCGACTCACAATGACCCTGCATAGGGTTTCTGAGGCTGTAAATCTTTATGGGAGCAGGAAGCCTCATCTTTCTCCCACGGAACCGCTGGTAGCTTCAAACTGCTGACCGTGTGGTTGGTTAGCAGCCCAACTCGTAACCACTACGCTACCAGAGCTCCTGCATACACATCAACATACTCAGAAGTCAGAATATATATTTTTTCAGCTAGGAAACAAAACAACCAGGAAGAAAGTTAGATAGTTCCTCAGAGTGTAAGAAAAGCTCCGATTCGGTCCTGCATTTATTGACTTGCTCAGTGGAGGCCAGGCTGGTGTGACTCACTTTTTCAGTTCATTGGTTTGGGTTTTACTTATTGTGTCTGTGTAACCTGAAATGATAAAAGGGCATCGCAGCAAATTTGTAATTTCTAGGACAAGCGGGAGGAGGCGAAGCTTCTAACACATTTTCTTGTGTCCCTTTTCTCTGAGCAAACTTCCTTTCTGGTTTTCCTTTAGTCAGGTATGTTCTCCTCTCTAGGTTCGGTGTATAACCCCAAAGTGTTGCTTCCCTGCTTACACAGAACTTCAGGAAGTAGGACTCCTTCTCAGGAGCTCCACTGAAGTGATGCCTCCTCCAAGAAATTGCTGACTCACCAAGGTACAGAAATAGCCATCGATTGAGAATACTAAAAAGGTTTTCTTAGGCCTCTGATATTTAGCCCCTTACTAATGAAAACATGAATATTGGAAAGTCTCCATTTCTCACATTTCAAAATATATTGCTGCTTCATGACTAGGAATGGTTGGAAATGCAATCAGAGCTGGAATGAGAACTGATCAGAAAGTTCTGGGCTATCTTTCTCCCTTGCTGCTGATTGTAGAGAGACAGAAACCAACTACCAGGTTCAACAATTCTTGCTAAGAAACCAGACAGTTGTTTTCTGCAATTCTCTGAAGGAGCTAGTTAAACCTCATTGTTATTATCATCATTATCACTGTCACAAAACACAAGTATCTGTTACCCCGGGACCTATGATACTGTGGCTCCAAAGCTATGGCCCCAGTCCTCAAATGCCTTGCAGTCCTTTCTGGTAACACGTGCATATGTAAAAAGTGCAGACTCACACAGTCCAGTGGGAGGTACCTGCACAGTGCTCCTAATGAAGTATTGTTGGACTCATAGGAGGGAAGACCTTATCCAATAAAGATGCAAGGAAGAGGCAAGCCTTGAACTAAGGGGGCATTGAAAAGGGAGAGGTGACTAGGAGAGATGCTAGGTTTATGACTTGGTGCTGAGATAGGGCTAAAGTAGGAATTTACAGACCACATCTCTGAGCTATATTGAGGCACCCAGTTAAAAGAGAATGAGCCTGGGTGTCCCAGTGGTTAAACTGCTCAGCTGGTTTGAACTCACCAGCTATTTCAGTGACGAATCTCCATTGTGAAGATTTAGAGCCTTGAAAACTCTATGGGACAGTTCTGCCTATGCCTAGAAGCTCACTATAGAGTTACTATAAGTAGGAATTGACCATAAAGCAAGAGTTTGGTTTGATTTTAGTTAGACGGGATCTCAAGAAAAGAGAGGGGGTATAGAAAGTCCTGGAGGAATACACAGGTCAGGCTGTAGAAGAGACCTTGAATTTTAGGCTAAAATGTCATGGGTTAACATGACGAAAATAAGTTTAACACAGATATTTAAGTTGGGGATACTGAGGAATTAGGGAGGCCAGTCTGGAGACTCTGGTGCTGATCTGAGAGAGGGGCAATGCAGAGTATATTTTAGGAAATATTTTTGGGAACATCTTTGAATTAGGATATATTTGAGGCTCACTATATATAGCACATTTGTTCTTCATATCCTATTCATTTACCTGTCTCATTCTATGCATGACTAAACACACTGAATATGTAACAAATAACTACAAGATTAAGTCTGTCATTTGGATTATTTGCAAAATTCTCCAAGTTACTAGGGAAAAAAATCCTCAAAAAATAAAACAAATGAAACACCCTCAAAACGTGAATCTTGTACACAGTAGCTGATTAAGGAATGTTGGTTAAATCTGAATATAAATTAGTCTTCTTAATAAAACTTGGAGAAAATCAGCTAAATTCTCTAAAGCCAGCTAAATATGTGGGAAGCCAATTTTTTTTTTTTCTTTTACAGTTAATTTGAACAGTTTTCTGTGGCAAAAGTTATTACAGGAGATAAATATATTTACCTTTTCTTAGTAGGAGAAATATAAAACAAAGAAAATGCTCACTTAGAAAAATGCTCGATAAAATGGAGTGCTCAGAGGAGTTTTATTGTTACCATGTATTACGGAATCATTATTGTAAATATGCTAGGGCCTTTGCTTTAACTCATAGATTTTGTTAGATAAGGGAATAAGGAAACGAAGCAAATTTTGCACTAAGATTTTCCCGTAAGCTGAAGTTCAGACTGACATACTCAATACATATGTCACTTATCTATTAAGCCAGTGTGAGATCTGGTTTAAATAAACAATCAAATGGAAAATTAGCTGGGTAATTTCAAAAGAAGGGGGGGAAAAAAGTCAGTTAAGCGGTGCAATGAAGCTTGAATAGATCTGAAGAAACTAAAACCCCGGCTCAACTCGGTAGATGCTGAGACTGGTTTGCATGGAGAAGTTATTTTGCTAAAAGGAAGTAAAACCGCTTCGTGAAATGTGTTGTCCAATGATATGACAAGCCCTGGGCCAGTGTGCGAAAATGGAAATGCTTCACAGAGGCTCTGTGAAAAGGATTTAAAACAATCACCACAACAGCAACAACACTGCTACAGTAAACTTTCTGAGAAATTTCATCAAACCCTAGGTCTTTTGCCCACATTTTAAATACTGGTTTGGGTACGCAGCACACTCACACATACACAAGTAAACATACAGTATAGTTTTCCACCCAACATCTACCTCAAAACTAAAACAAAAATAAAAATAAATAAAGAACTTTCCGCTTTTCTCTTGGAACATGTCTTATTATTTCAAAATGATGCCATTTTAGAAGATTAGTCGCATATTTTAAGGTGTTTACATATTGAATGCAAAATATTTTGAACCATGATGACACTTCTTAAAATCTTATTTTTAGAGCATCAAGTTATTTTTAAGAACAAATAAATTCTGCCTTTTACTGGTAAATTTCTGCTGTTTTTAGCATATTGTGCCAGCTAGCATTTTGGAGCCGTATAATAACCATTTCTGTTTCCAGCCACCAAATTGTTATTCTTTTGGCATAATATAGATTCAGGAATGCAAGACTGTGGATCCTAAGCCAGTGATATAGAAACCTATCATTTGAAAATCAATGATGAATACATGCGTGTGGTTTACTGCTAAGAAGAGCCTGCATTTAAACCAGCTCGGAAACCGCAGCCTCCTCTTCACTCAGAATGCTGTGGCCTGTTCGGGACTGCTGTTCCACCTTAAGATAAATCCACCAAAGAGAATGGTCTCATTTAAATTCAGGGGTTGTGAGGGGGGGTGAGAAACACCACCCCTCAACAACCTTCTAATATACAGATTAGACCTTTCTTCATGCTATGTTTTAAAATTACCCTCCGCCCAAACAATTATCAATTTAGATGTGACTGCATGCAGATGTCACATTCCCCTGGCCACTTAAAAGCACAAAAATTACATAGCATGAGTGAATGGATTTCCTGATTATAGATTATAAGAAAATGAAGAACAGACCCACTTTAGAGTCACTTTGTTTTATCATTTTGTTTGATTAAAAATATCATTTCACACAAAAATAAAACAATATAGACATTCATAATTTAATTTGTATAAAGGATAATAGAATCTACCTCTACTGGTTGTACATTTCTAAACACGCCTATTAAAATTAGTATAAATATATGGAATTTAAAATGTTAGAGGAATAAGAGGAAATTTTTTCTTGCCTCCAGTTTGCCTCAGTTAACTTGCAAACACTTGCTGTTTTTTCTTCTTCCTTTTTTATTGATTCCTATTTTAAGAAGTTGTAAATTCAAAGAACATATTCCTGGCTTAAGATGTTAACAGGAGGACATTTTGCCTTGTCTCACAGAGCTCACTTGAGCATGTAGCTCTTTCTGAGCCCAAAGTTGTGGAACTTTCTCTTATTTGGATATTTAGACATCTGTTTACTTATTTTCTTTGTACTTTTCTGGGCTCTCAGTTATAAAAGCAAGCATACCAAACTAATAAAGCACAAAACAGAAACTAGTCCCTGTAACCCAAGGCCAATTCTTTCACTAGCATGATCTTTTTTTCACTCTCCCAAATTAACCTTGTAATCTTTGACCCTTCACTCTCCCGTTTTCAATGGCACAGAAACCAAATATTTTATTTTCAGCAATGTCTTTTGGTTGTACCTATTCTTTCCAACTCTGTTGCCACCATACCATTTTAAATTTGCATCATCATTTGACTAGGACCTTTCCAGAACTCCCCATCTGGGTCCCTGGTTTCTAGCTGAAGGCTTCTTTACCACACCAGAAGGTGGGTTTCTGGAAGTCTGTGAATGCCTCATAGCTGTATGCAAACTTTTGTGTGTATGTGTGATGTTACATTTCTTGTACAGTCTCAATCCATCCATGGAAAACTTTCTCAACTTCTACTTCTATTACGTTTATTTTTTCATATATAGCTTAACACCTAAAGCTATATAAGTTGGGTCAGTGCCCTGCCTGGTTCTTAGGACTATCTATAATTTGACCCCATCTATCAATTTACCCTAATTTCCAGTGGCCACA